ATATATATAAAAATGAAATTGCATAAATAAATTAGCATACCTAGTATAGAAACATGTCTTGGATAGTAATCGGGGGTCAGAGTGCAGGGTCAACCAAACATTTAAAATTCTAATTCATTCTTGTCTTATACCTTGCTGTGTCGTCAAGATCCTTATTTGTATCATTTTTATTTTAAACATTTCGTACACAATATATATTTTAAATATTGGGGTGGCTGTAGATCAGGAGGTAGACCATCTACTAATCAGAAGATTGGTGGTTTGATCCCTGGCTGCTCCAGTCTGCATGCCAAATGTCCTTGGACAAGATACTAACCCCAGCTTGCTCTCCAACACATCTATTAGAGTGAGAATGTGTGTGAACGTTAGGTAGAACGTACATAAGCATAGAAAGAAATGTTCTTATACAAATGGGTGAATGAGGCATGCTGTATGTTGTGTAAAGGGCTTTGAGTGCTCTCAGAGAGTAGAAACCTTATAAGGATCAGTCCATTTACGTATGGATAGGGTTTCTAGATCCCCAGACAATAAATATAAAAATCTCATTTCTCATGTACAGGCTTTATCTACACTGTGTGGTGGGTTTGACAGGCAGGCCGATTGACTCATTTGGCCTCTGATTCTGTCTCTAGAATTTCTGAAGATGATGGAGAACGTCCAGTAAAGACACCAGCTCTACATTCCTTGGTGATCCGTCCTCAGCGAGAAACTGAAGCACATGTGTGATGGAAATCTGCTCAGAGCAAGCTCTAAATTCTAGGAGCCCGTCCACAAATATGTATAGGATAACTTTCTGAGATTTCAAAATGGATTCAAGACAAACACTGCAACCCACCACGTTTTTCCTTCTCACATGAAACCTGGGAACTTGTTGAGGATGTCTATAAATATCCATCCAAACCTTTTAAGACGAAGGCTCTCTTCCCTGGGTGCCTCCTTATGCCCACTACCCAGCTGTCCCCTTTGGCAGCTGCTGTTGCTCCAGAAATGCTACACCGCCACGCTGGCCCCGCCCTCCACCATCGCACGTCGCATATCTTCTCAACCCTAATCTTTACTTTCTAAATAAACCAACTTCTTCTCCCACTTTTTGGTCATCCTTGTAAATAATTCTGCTGTGCATGTCCAACATGTCTTATATTGTTAGATTTTTGTCTCTTGTGGCCTTTCTGGGACTTTCACATTACCTTTATCTGAATGGCCACATGATTCTCAGATACATGAACCTAGTTAGAGAGATCATTCAGATGACACACCATGCACTCTACAGCCTCCCTAGATTTGACTAAATCTTACTTCTCCAGTCCCAGATTCAAACTAGCCCCCATGCAAACTATAGTTGTATAGATGGTAACTAATATGCTCCTTGTCTTTTTAAACAAAAAAGAAGTCTCATATTTGATAAAATATCTGTTTCAAATAAACCTTTAGTCTTCTCCTAAGCATGTAGCCTGTTCATGAAGTAGTCTTCCAGCACAGAAGTCAATAACCCTCAGATTATAGCCCCAAGCATGAGATGCAAACCCAAGAATCAAAGGCTTGAGCTGGACATTCACAGAGCGGATGAGTTAAATCTCCCCTTGCAACGTGCAGCTCTCCCTCTGGAGTATATAGTCTGCAAGCCCCCACCACCACCACCTCTCAAAAGCACCTCCCACCTCCTTCTCTTCAGGTCTGCTCCTCTTCTCAGTATCCTGTCCTCCCTTCTGGTCTCTTACCTTGGGTCCCTCCCTTGGGAACTGCACACCATATAAGGAGTAGCTGGTTGTGTTTAATAAGTTAAGTAGCAGCAGGGTCTGAAATCTGCCGGCTATTCAGGGCACCTCTAAGGAGGGGTTAGAGGTCTGGTCTCACAGCATTTTCCTCTTGGTTTAAAGTTTCCCATCCAGATTGAATCTCCATCACCACAAAACCCAAAGCTTACTCACTAATCTTTGGCTCCCCCTTGTTGTTTTCTGTTTTGTATTTACAAGGCAAAATAGAAATCAACAGTACACTGACATGCATGCACTGATGTGAGCCAAATTTGTGTTTGTATTTTATTATTTCGAAGGGAGGGTGCCTTTTCTAAGAAGTATGGTGCTTTTAGATTTATCTTATAGAAAATTTCTGTATTTTCAGTTTTCTTTCTCTCTGGTTTTCCAGAGTGAATTCTCTTAAAGTAAGCTGGGTTCCTTCTCATATCCAACATCTGAGGACAATCTCAGTGTGACGCTTTCATGCATTTCCCCCACAAACTTTGAAAATGTATCCTTTACTTCTTTAGCATACTTAAAACCACAACTTCAATAAAGTGGAGCGTTCACCTCGAAAGTGTGATTGGCTTGCCCTGGCCCCAGAACCCTAAAAGTTCAGGATACTAAATCTGGAGGCCTGTGAGAGGCAGGGGGCGGGACCTCCTTGTCCCGTTTAAAGTGTCTCTGAACCATCACTTGATGTCTAGTCTCTCTGTTGGGGTGCACACGGATTGACCACTCCTTTGGGCTTTTCTTTTATCCTTGGATATTTGGGGGGGAAAAGCTAATCCACAAACATGGTAAGACCAATCAGTTGTGCAAATGACCAGTTCAGCTATCGGCTGATTTCATTAGAGAGTGAGCAATAAAGGAATAAAGGCATGTGAATGTGTAAAAATCATTAGCTGAGTTTCTGAGAAGCATATTTCTTTCTGTTGGTGTTGTTCAGATATGTATATGTTGCTTTCCCCTAAAATAGTTGTTTTTTCTTTTTAGTAATTCAGCATTTTTTTCCACGTAGTTTTTTTTTTGTTCTCTGCTGGTTTTGAGTTAAATTGATATGAAATATGCTCAAACTCCTATTTTAGCCAGTTATCTGTTGTAAATAGACTACTTTTAATCCTTGTGGGAAGTTAACAATGGGTGTTGATGGGCAGGATGGGTGTCAGCTGGGAAGGTGCTGATTCTGCTTAGGCAACAAATTCCTCGGGATTGGATGTCTGCAGGCCTTATACAGCGAAGCTAATGTGTTGAGCCTGAAATAGCCAGACTAATTTTCATCAAGCTCAAGAATCCTTTCGAGATGCACCCATGTTATCGTGTGACTTGTGATAGCATGTTTCAGTATCATTATTACAACCATTAATCACTCTGTAAATATTACAGTCACAAGTTTAAAATATCAATCCTGAATCTCTGAACTGTATCATCTCCACTGTGCGTAAAAATACTTTTACGCACAGTGGAGATGATCCGTGTAGTTTAGGGGTGGGGGGGTGGGGGTGGGGGGTAGGTTGTTTAAAACGAATAGAAAATATGATAAAGAATTATTTTGCCACCGTGCTTGGCTAAGACAAGCAAGTTTAACTGGAACAATCAACTAAGCCTAAATGAAACATGTAATGAGTGAAGTGATGCACTGGACACTGCTTTCTTCCAGACTGACGCGCAACAAGAGGCCCGCTCCTACCTGAGCGAGGATATGTTGACTGGTGAGTACAGTACTATTGCTTAGTCTAAATAACGCCATTACAGTAAGCTATGAAATGAAACACGCGTGATACATGTTTTTAATTATACCACCCTTAAATGCAATCACACAATAAGCCAATCAGTTCTACTTCAGATCTTTTTTTTTCTACCAGCAAGAGCTCGTACAGCCTAAAGAGAATGCAGATCCACGGCGTGAAGCCAGATGGAGCAAACTGGTATGAAAGAAAAACCAAGAATAGCACAATGAGAATTATTCACAAAGAAGCGGACCTCGCAGTTTTTCAGTCGATAAAAGCAAACCGGGTGCTATTTTAAAGGATAATAGTGTCCTATCGCAACGATTAATGCTCGGTGAAAAAGAACAATAAAGCAGAAAAGTACCAAACTGAGAAATGAGACCAGCTTGGAACAAACACACGCCTTCATTCAATTCTCGTTTCTCCAGAGTTCAAGGCCGCCTTTGACTTGTTCGACACCGATGGTGGCGGTGATATCAGCACCAAGGAGTTGGGTAACGTGATGAGGATGCTGGGTCAGAACCCGACAAGAGAGGAGCTGGATGAGATCATCGAGGAGGTCGATGAGGACGGTGAGAAACGGGAAATATAGTTTATGCCTGATGGCGACACAGCAGAACAGCTGTGTGTCTTAAGTGTTTTTACACACAGGGACACTTTATGGTAATTCAGTAATTAGAGGTGGTGGTACTTCTAAACACCCCGTCAACATGACATTTTTACTGCACTAACAAATTCTGGGTTGTTCCATTGAACTCCCGGTGTTTCCATGCGTAAAACGGTCAACAAAGTTATTACGACAATGGGTTGATCTGATGCGTATCAATCACGTGGCTCCACTAAACCCTCAGGTAGCGGCACCATCGACTTCGAGGAGTTCTTGGTCATGATGGTGAGACTGATGAAGGAGGACCAGGCCGGAAAGAGCGAGGAAGAGTTGTCAGACTGCTTCCGTGTGTTTGACAAGTAAGCTCGCGCTCACACGGTTTACACTAATCGTTTGTGTGTGTGTGTGTGCGCGCGCGCGCGTGTTTTGTTTTGGGGCTTTTTTGTTGCTATATCACCTTTACTCGATCTTTACATTCACGCACATTTTGTTGTTGTCGTGTGCGCAGGAACGGCGACGGTTACATCGACAGAGAAGAGTTTGCCCTTATCATCCGCAGCACCGGCGAGGCCATCTCAGAGGAGGAGATCGATGAGCTGCTGAAGGAAGGAGACAAGAACAGCGACGGCATGCTGGACTTTGACGGTATGTGTCAAATGAAAATGATGAAGCTGTCAGCTCACTTATTATTGAACCTTGAGGAGTCTCTATGAAGGAGGTAGAGAGTGCATGAGGGGGGAAATCCTGTTTATTAAGAGGCTGCAGCTTTGCTAGAGTACCAATAAGCTGTATCAGTCTTGTTCTATGGCATATCAGGTTTTACAGTCAGACTTTAGGGATCATATTGTTGCCTGCTAGGCTGTGTTGTACAGTTCCTACACTCCTGTCATCATCTTAAAATCAAATTACACCCCGGCTTCCTGCTTGAGCTGAACTACTACCTGTTCCTTTACAGTTTATTCAAGTAAATAAAGAAATGGATGTAAAAAGTAATGCTGTCCAATTTCTCTTTTCTTTATCAGAATTCCTCAAGATGATGGAGAATGTGCAGTAGAACAAGAAAGACTCATGGACATTCCTCCACCCTTCTGTGAACCCCCATTCTGACCCACTCCCTCCTTCTCCCTCTTGTCCACCTGGTTCACTGCCTTTCTTCTCCATCCTTATAGAAGTCCTCAACAGACAGCTAGAGCACCCAGTGGGGGGTCGCTGGCTGGGCAACATCTTTCCCCTGGCTCGCTTGTAAATGCAGACATCCCCTAGATGCCATGCTGACACCCAGCCCTGTAACAGGACAGCAAGGCTGCAACAGGGGTTTTTTTCACTGCACACAGCTTTTGCAGTATGCATGGCATGTCGTGTCATCAGTGACCCCCTCCCCCTCTCTGCTGGTAAAGCTCTGATCTAGATGTATTCTAGATAGACGGGCAGCTTGTTACCTGCTGCTTAGACCAATTAATTCAATCACTTCACTGTATAAAGAAGTAATTTGCTTGAAATAAATGAACTAACACATGCTCACTTGTAGTTGGTCTGTCATATTTATGGTCTGTGTAATAATTTTGTTTTGAGGAATATTAATAAAATCTGTTTCTTTTCCTCTTTTTGTCCGTTTTGTTCCAACCACAGCCAGTTTTGCTTTTAAAATAACCAAAAGCCTCGACTGAGGTCAGAATTATTTGGACATTACGGACAGTCGGAAAACCTCAGTTCATCACACATGTGGGCACAGATGAGGTCGGCATCATGTCTAGTATTCCTGGCTGTGCTGATAAAGTTTAATTGCGGGTTGCAAACTGTCTGCTTTGACAAATATTTATGACACTTTTCTATAAAAAAAAAAATCTGGAACACTCCTATTTTTGAATACCAGCAACTTGCTCCTGAAAACTTGGGACTGGAACACATTTCCCTCTGTGTTTGGGAGATGATGACACCAGCTGGTGTAGTTTCCATCCATCTTCATCCGCTTTATCCGAGGCCAGGTTGCGGGGGCAGCAGCCTAAGTGTAGTTTTACAAGGCAAATTGGCTTCTTTTTTTGGGTTTGTTTTTCACTCGTGCTTGACACAGGATTTCAGCTGCTCAGCAGTTTGTGGCTTAATTTACTGTATTGTGTTTTTTGTTTCATTACCACAGCCTGTCCAGAAGGGGGACATGAAGAGCAACCCTTCTCGTGTAATGTCATTTACACAACCTGAATCTAAAGCCTTTTCTTTAGATACTTCACATACATTTGAGGATTCAATCTGTGGGTTTAAGTTACATACTTATTTTTTCTTTACTTATTCAAAATAAAATCATGCTTAAATTCTTGTGCAGATCCACTCTTCACGTATCAGATTGGTAACACAGCACAATGCTGTGCTTTAAAACAAAGTGTTATGTTTTCTGGTTCTGGTGCTTAAAAAAAAAAAAAAAAAAGTTGTTTGTGCAAAAGAGACGAGGACCTGGTCATTTTAAAACTATTGGCAAGTTGCTTTATTTTACATAACCAAAAAGTCTGAAATCAAGCATATACACTGAAATTCGTTGTTATTGTTATACTGTCTATAAACACACACATGACGCAAACATGCAGTCTGAAGACTGAATGAACTCACGAGCAAACGAACAGTAAATTAAAAGAAACAAAGGTCATGGGAGGAATAACAACCAGTCCCGTTGTGAGTTTAAGAGCCATAATTTGCTTCATCAAAAGCTTTCCGAGCTCTCTTCAGCTCCTCGTTCATGGTCAGCAGATCTTTGACTCTAGCAAACTTCCTGGGATCTTTGCGAATGAGGAAAACGATGTCCTCCACCTGGACGCGACCCTGGCGCCCGATAGACATGGCCTTGTGGGTCATTTCCGTGATAAACTCGATCACCAGATCCTCCAGAATATCCACAGACTCCGTGTAAGGGTTCTGGTCATCTCCAAATCCGTACATCATGCACCGGAGCTCCTTGGAGAAGAGTCTCTTTCTCTTGCCGTAGCCGACATCCACCCCGCCGGAGCCGTCCTCCAACTCTTCGTCGAAGCCTGGCTCGTCCTCCTCCTCCGCCATTTGCTGAAAAACACCCGCAAGCGTTATTCAAACCTCAACATTAGCTGCTCATTGTTAAATACGCGTTAGCATTAACCTTACCTTGTGCTTGTTCACGACTGTCTCACAACAACAGCTTGTTAAGTGCGCCGACTTCCGGTTTTGTTTCCTTGACTGAGGAAGTGGTGGTTTGGAGAGGAAACAGACAGGGCTAGAAATCACAGATACTCCCCCCTTGTGGCCAGTGTTTAAATTTACTCGTGTTATTCGTCAGTATAGCCAACACAGCTGACGGTGAGTTTCTTTTAAAGCACGATCTGTTTGATTGCATCGGAAGCCCAAACTTAATTTCATATCGCCGGGTGTATGCGGGAATCACCGACACGTAGCTTGCTTAGAATGTAAAAAGCTATATTCACGTGTGTTTAAGCTAAGCCAATTTCATTTGGTATTATTTTAGCTAAACCTTAGACCTAGACAAACTATGCACAATGGGCGATGGCAAGTTGGTGGTGTGAGTGGAAACAGGAGCATTGTTCAAGTGGCTGATCGAAGAACAACACCTCACAGCATTCGTGGAAAGAAATGGATCTCGGTGCTTGAACAGAGGGCTCAGATTCTAAGTAAACACTGAGAGCCTGACCGCGGGGGCTCAGCACGTGCTCATTGCCGTGAGTAAGTGACACGTCCCCGTGGATTTTGCTGTGGACTCCTGCCCTGCCAAGTGATGTTCAAAGCTTATCTCAGTCAACCGGATTGAGTATTATAGCTAATTACTGGCCTGATAATGTTAACAAGTCAATATAGATGCTAAATGACAGGCTAATGTTAGCTAAATCATGCTTTTTATTTGTTCTTGTTTCTAATGTCTCTGTAAAGCACTTTGAATCACCTTGTTGTTGAATTGTGCTATACAAATAAACTTGCCTTGCCTAATGAACTATAAGGCAAGTTAACGAAGAAGCCAGTTTGACCTATAAAACGTAGCAGCTATCCAGTGAGCCTTCCTCTCTCAGTCACTGTTGAAGCACTGTTGCTGGTGAGTTCGTCTGCTGGGGCTGTCTGATGTTCCTGTTGGTTAACGGACAGATTTAAAGATTAGCATAACATTGTTACCAGCTGCTTATCCGCTAGCACAACCAGTTAAGAGAATGCTAGTAGCTGATAACGTTTAATTTGAGCTAAAATGAATTTTGCCGTTATGCTAACATTGTATCAAATAGGTTTCGCTTAAATTCTGTCTGAGCGCCTGTTCCACTAACTAGCATTAATATGCACAAACGCAGCCCTGCTCTTACCTTGCTTTTCTTCTCTGCGGTGTTTCTGCTGTAAAAAGGTCTGGTATGGCTGTTCGGGGAGGATGTGGGTTCAGGTCGGAGATGGCCCCTCTGCAGTAGCTGTGTGTTGTGGACAGCTGGTCCTGGCAGTCCCGTATGGCGTGCCCAGTCCAGTTCCTGTGCAGGGGGCTGCGCACTGTTGGATTAGTTCTTCTCTACTATGTCTTCTCTATAGGCATCACATTCTATAACAAATGGCTAATGAAGGTGAGTAAAGAAGCTCATACAGCCTTGTCAGTTTCTTATAACATGCTTGGTTGTATTAAAGGTGATTAATGAAAATGAGCACCTGAGGACGCTCAGCTTTGCTTGTCTGGGGATCTCCTGGATCCTGAGAAAGAGACTTACACTGACTAGTCCACCCTAGATGACCCCAACTGTTTCTCTCTCTTTCTTAGGGCTTCCATTACCCCCTCTTCATGACTTTAGTTCACCTCACCATCATCTTCTGTCTGTCAGCTCTGACACGACAGGCTGTGCAGTGGTGGACAGGGAAACCTCGCGTTACTCTGAGGTGGAAAGAGTACCTCAGAAAAGTAGCACCCACGGGTGAGTTTTATCTTGCGTCTGGAGACTGGTGATTTAGACGGGGGACAGTCGCCTCTTATCGGGTTCACCGATTGACTAAGCTCTGTGGAATGCTTCGTCTAAAGTCCACGTGGAGAGAATAAATACGACAACCCCGACCAGAATGATGAAGATATCTAAAAGCAAGTGCATTAAATGAACCGTTCCAAACCAGTTTTGCCTCATTTAAACTAAAATTCTGCACAAACTTAAGTTGTCATAAGATTAGTTTAAAAGAGTCAGAAGGAAAAAGTGAATCAAAGACTAAGAAAAGCAAAAATCCAAAGAAATTAAATCAAAAGTAATTAATATTTTGTTCTGTTTTACTTTATGCACTAAAACGACATCAAGGTGATTTTAATATGTGGGATTGATTATATACATACTTGTTGTTGTTGTTGTTGTTGTTGTTGTTGTTGTTTTTTGTTTTTTAGTATTTGTGCTCTAAATGCGTTTAGTCACTCTAAATGCACTGAAATGAGTGGTTTTAAAATGAACCTGTCATCCTGTACTCCTAAGTTCTGTCCTTCTTACCTGCAGCCATCGCAACAGCGCTGGATATTGGACTTTCCAATTGGAGCTTCCTCTTCATCACCATTAGCCTGTAAGTTTGTGGTTTGGACATTTTTATTAGAAGTTCATATGTGTCAGTATTTTATCTTAACCAGTCATTGTATTGTTCTTTACATATTCTACGACTTTTATTTTGTGTCATTCAAGGTATACCATGACCAAGTCCTCAGCAGTGCTTTTTATCCTGTTTTTCTCTCTGGTCTTTAAACTGGAGGAGCCGGTGAGTGTACCGATCACATGACACTGACAGCAGTGCTAGCACTGCAGTTTTGTCTTCACTTTAATGTCACACAGACACAACTGGAGAATTAAGCATGCTTCTTATACAAAATGATGCAAGAGGCAATTCTTTTAGTCTGTTTCCTCGATTGTGGTGCAATGCACAAAGCAGACATCCAGCAACGTTCACAAAGTGCACCGTGGCTGTAGCAGAACATGAGAACTTTCTAATCTGAAAAAAGTCCTGCACCTGCACAAATTTATAACCGGTTCGGTTATAAATTTGCCAATTTTTCTTAATGGTGTCATAGCTTAAAGATTTAATTCTGTCCACCTTTAGCACCAAATCACAACAGTCAGTCACAGCGCTTTGAGGCGTTTGAGCTCTCACTGTGGTATTGTATCACTTCCTGTTACAGAGCACAGTGGTGTTTTTGTGCAGCTTGATGGGGGTTTCATCACATGAGCAGTAATGAGCAATCATTACCTCTCGTCTACTCTCTCCTCTAGCTTGTGCTTTGTTCTGTTCTTCTTTTACCTGTTATCCTCTACTTTCTTCTTCTGTTTCCTGTGCAATTTTAACTTGAAACTGCTGCGTGTCGTTGTCTTTTCTCCCTTTTAATCCAGAACCCGTTTCTGATCCTGGTGGTCCTGTTGATCTCCTGCGGTCTCTTTATGTTTACCTTTGAGTCGACCCAGTTTAATCTGGAAGGCTTTATTCTGGTGCTCCTAGCATCCTTCATAGGGGGGATTCGATGGACCCTCACTCAGGTCCTCATGCAGAAAGCAGAGCTGGGTAAGTGTTCAGCCACTGTGGAGTGACAGCTTCCAAAGAGGTTAAAAAGCCTATAACCTGGATCTACACCAATGAATTTTGGGCTGTGGCTTTCATCAGATATACAGTAAAACATGATACACACGCCATTTCAAAGAGGATTGGTGTGAAATACAAAAAAAAAAAAAGGAAAACAACTATCATAGAGACCTAAAATATCTTGTTATGTGGTTTCAACCTAGCTGTTATCCTTGAATGGTCTACAACAAGTTAACAAGATCCACCAGTGATGACTCTAATGCAGGTTTTGACACAACATTAACAGCAGGTGAAGTGGGGTTGTTGCTTCCCACTGTCTTTCCTCTGAGTTTATACAGCAACATCTATCCATAAGTATTTACAAAGTAAACACATTGAAGCCCAACATCAGTAACTTTTAACTATATGCCAGGCTTGTAAAGCACTGATTTTAAAACTCTGCTATGATTTGAGGTTTCCCAGCTGGGACACAGTTCCCTGCATTTTTCATCTTTTTCATGTCGCACTGTTTTAGGCCTTCAAAACCCAATAGATGCCATGTACCACCTCCAACCTCTCATGTTCCTTGGGCTCTTTCCTCTCTTCCTGTTTAATGAAGGTGAGTATAGACATAAGTTCATTGTCTTTCATGTTTTGTCGCTGCATTAAATTAAGCTCTGTAGCCCCTAATTTTATTTTTTTTTTACTTTTTATTTTGTACTTTTTCCAAATTTATAGTACATGCAAACAAAAATATGAAAAAAGAAACAAACTAAAAGGAATAAAGGACACCTAATCTGTGGAAGAGGGGGAAAAAAAAACCCAAAAACAAGGAGGAGAGGTCCCTGCCTTATGGGGCTGAGTGAGTCTTATAGGATATCCATTTTGTCCACTGTTTTTGGTGTTTGTCAGATTTCAGTCTCAAGGTGTAGGTCATTTTCTCCATTATATATATGTCCTCGATTACATCAGCCCATTCTTCCAATTTTAAAGGGTCACTTTTCAGCTAGTTTTTTGTTATTACCTTTTTGCTTGACGACAACATAATTTTAAACAAGTAACGGTCCTCCTTATTTTTTTCCCTTTTTCCAAAATACTCGTGCCTTACACGGCACGTCATACCCCAGCACTTTCTTCATTGTTACTGCAATGCTTTCCCAGTAAGGTTTGATATCTTTACACTTCCAAAACACATGAGAATGATTGGTGTCCCAGTCTCCACATAATCTCCAGCATCGTTGGGGTGTTTTCAGCTGCTTGCTTGAGTAATAAAGAACCTAATCACATTTTTCCAGCCATATTCTCTCCATCGTCTAGAGCTGGTGGAATTATGCTGTGTGATACATACGGATCGCCAGTCATCCTCTGACAACTCAAGATGTAATTCAGATTCCTGCTTTTGTTTGATATATAATGTTTCATTCCTATTCAAATTTTGCAGACCATTATATAATTTCGATAAAATTCTTGGAGGATTTTTATATGCACCTGTTATTATTTCTATTATATGGCTTCCTTCTCTCAAGAACTTCTTCCTAATTTGTAAAAATGTCTTAATTGAAAATACCTAAATAAATCTGATTTATCCAGTCCAAACTGTCTCTGTAGATTCTCAAAGGATTTTAATGTTTTCCCATCTATTAATGTGCACATTGCTGTAATTCCTTTATTGACCCATCTTAAAAATGTACTATCCCATTGTCCACTTTGGAATTTTCGAGAATATGCAGGCCAAATCAGCAATTTACAGTCTTCTATAATTCTATATTTCTTCACTATAATCCACCAGAGTTTAATAGTGAATTCAGTAATGAGATTTGTGTTCGTAGACTGGATAGTTTCTCCTCCCAATCTTGCTTGTGGATGACATGATGAGCAATAATTTATCTCCATATGCTTCCATTTTGAGGTGTAATCCGGTGAACACCAGTAAACAATATTCCTTGAAATTCGGGAGGGCAAGTCCTCCTTTTTCTTTTCTTAATTGGAGTATTTTAAATCTTATTCTTGGCTTTGTCCCTTTCCAAATAAATCTACTAACTAATTTATCCCATCTACCAAATTGTGCATCAGGTATATGGACTGGCAATGAAGTGAATAGATACAGTAGTCGAGGAAGCTCATTCATTCTTATTACCTCTATTCTTGAGCTAAGGTCCATGACAAGTGGAGCCCATTTAATCAAATCTTTTTGGATTGTATTACTAATCTTTACATAATTTGCCTCGTATAGTGTACTTATTTTGCTAGTTAGATAGACACTTAAATATTTGATCTTATTTGAGTCCCATTTTAATTTATATTCGTTTTGAATTGAATCTTTGGGGAAATAATTCAGACAAAGTACTTGAGTCTTTCCTTGTGTCCGGCAGCCTCGCCTCTGTCAGTGCGCCCCAGGGCAGCTGTGGCTACAATGTAGCTTGCTATCGCCAGTGTGTGAATGTGTGAATGACTGAATGTAGTGTAAAGCGCTTTGGGGTCCTTAATGACTAGAAAAGCGCTATACAAATGCAGGCCATTTACGATATTTAGTTTATACCCTGAATTTTTGCCAAAATATTTTAATGCTTTAATCAATCGAGGAAAGGTCGTGTCAGGATCCTGTAGGTATATAATTATATCATCAGCAAAGAGACCTATTCGTTGTTCAATTTTAGAAACTAAAACCCCTTTTTAAGTCTGCACTTTGCCGTATATACTGAGCCTGTCAGGGACCAAGCAGTAAAGCATAAAGGACACAGGTGGTTTTAATTCAAAAAAGGGGTTTTATTGACCCAAAAATATGAAAATATATTTAACAAAGCCAAAACTTAAACAGGCAGACCAATAAAAGAGGTCAACTCAATAGACTAAACTCAAGATAATAATTACCAAAACCTCAAACATATGATAAACTGACCTGCTGAAACGACACACGGGGGAACTTAAATACTGGTTTTGCTAAACCAAATGACACACACGGGGAAAACAAAATGGCTGCCATATAAGCAACTAATACAAAACAATTAAACAAACATGAAACACCCCCCAGGCAATCAAGCATGTGGTGCAATCCAATTAGGCTGTCAGTGGTACTTCAGGTCTCCCAGCCCTTTGTCACACCTTTTGCCAGACAGGAGGAGAAGCCAACCCCCAGGTAACTCAAACAAAGAAAGATGTATTAATATAACATAAAACAGAACTTTGACCTTGCAAGGTTAATATGTGCACGCCATATAAACATGGGAAGGTGTGATGGAAAAATACATACATTTAATAAAGAAACAGCATTGAACAATAAGTAGAATATTTTACAGTAGCGACTGTAAATTAAACTAAGGTGAATCAACTAGTGGTGAGGTGTGGAGCTTACCATGTGTGGCATGCCATCACAGAGCCAAAGGCTCGATATACAGAGCAAAAAGGGCTGGATTCAGCAACCTTGCCTGGTTCCTCTGAAGAGCTCAAAACTGTCTGTCAGGTCCCCTCTAGCCTGTGGTACAAGGATTGTATACACTCGATGAAGATACTGTTAAAGCCCATTCTTTTCAAAACAGCAAAAATAAATATCCAAGAGACTCTATCAAAGGCCTTTTCAGCATCTAAGCTCACTAAGGCTGTTGGGATTTTCTCTTTATTAACTCCGTTAATTATATGCAAAGTGCGTCGTATATTATCTAGTGTCTGTCGCTCCTTAATCCTGTCTGGTCTTCATCCACCAGATCTGGGAGAAACGGCTCTAAGCGTCTTGTGATTATGGATGTAAATAATTTATAATCCACATTTAAGATAGAGATTGGGTGATAAGAGTCACAGTTTTTCCTGTTTTTACCTTCTTTTGGTAAGACTGATATAATGGCCTCTTTCCAAGAGGGTGGAATTTTAGCGTGTTTTAATGTCCAGTTAAAAGAATCTCAAAATAGGAGCCAAGTCCTCTTTAAAGGTCTTATACCACTCATTGGGATACCCATCACTCCCTGGACTTTTATTAGATTTCAATCTCCTTATTGCCTTATCCAGTTCTTCCTTAGTGATTGGTTTAGTTAAAAATTCATTTTGAGTTGTCCCAATAGAAGGAAGGTCTAACTGAGCCAAGTACTCTTCAATTTCTTGTCCGTTTTTCTGGTCGGGTTGATTATACGATGTTTTATAGTATTTTTGAAAGGCTTTTTTTTATTTATTTTTTTTATCTGTGTTGGTTCATATAGTAGTTCCTTGGTGTTTGGATCTCTAATCTTATTAACTGCATTACTTATTTGTATTGATTTTAACCGTTTAGCCAGTATTTTGGTTGCTTTGGAACCAGATTCATAAAATGTTTGTTTTGTGAATCTCAGTTTCTTTTCTATTTCCTCCATAGGCAGATCGCTTAGTTGTTTTCTTACATCTTTAATGCTTTCAGCCAAGTCGGCACTCAAATCTGTGTGCTGTGTTTTTTCCTAAATCCCTTAATCGTTGTTCTAATTTGAATTGTGTGAGCTTTTGTAGCCCCTAATTATGGCATTTCAAGTCTTTTGAAAACCTTTACAGACCCCACTGTGCAGCGTGATGGTCATAAGAAAGTGATTATGTGTCAACACGGTGCCTATTCTGACACCCACACCTCATTTACATGTAAATAGGCAATAGCTCACATGTGTAATAGATTAGCAGTAGTTTCTCAGGGGTTCAGCTCAGCTGCAGAAAGTGGAGGATTATCAAAGCCCTGTAGCAGGTGCTTGATTAATGGGCACCCACAGTGTTTCTTTTCCTTCTGCTACTGGACTCTGGCAGGCCCAAGAACCAAAGTGTGAAAAGTTGTGAAATTTAAAACACAGCCCTGATTGGTTTCAGCACAATACAACGTGTTGAAATTGCAAATAAGCTCTAGCACCCTACGAGCTCTTCTCATTTCTCTGCTTTGGGCTCCCTTGTAACGTCTCTCCTCTGTACTCCCACCTGTACATCAGTTGCAGTCCAGAGTCTTGAAGTCCGTCTCAATTCCTAAAACGTATGACATAATAAACAAAGGCAGAGATCCATGCGTCACATTGTGCCACACCGTGAATTAAAAGCAAAAAACTGGTCCAGTAATGTAGCCACAGTTCTTTTCACCGACACTGCTTTAAAGGCTGCAAGAATCTCGCATTTTGTTAAACTCCTGTTGCCTCGTCTTCTCTCTCCTCGCGGTTCATCCTGGCCTGGCAGATCAGAGATGACATGGGAGTGAGACGATGGGCACAGGAACAAGAACAAACAAGTGTGTGGGACAAGTATGCATTTGTGGACGTTGGAGTGGAAGGGGATTGTTTGAGGTGTGGTCCAGCTGCCTTCACTTCAGATAAATGATATCCCAAATTCTTTATAATTTATGAAATGGAATTTACGAGAAGTGGTCTCACTGTTCTTAAGGGCAGCCTTACTGAGTGGACTCACATGAGCACATCAGTCCAGATGTAGCTCAGTGACAGAGGGCCTCTGCTTTTGTGCCACAGTCAAGCACGTAACATTGCACACCAGAGCTGTAATCTACAAATAAAACACTGCTGATTCAAGCAGAAGTGGCAGTGTGGTTCACCACACGCCTCTCATTAGAAGAACAAAAAGGAACTCCTTTATAAAATCTCTACAAGATATTGGACTTTCAAAAGACATGAGTGGGCAAGCCCTATAAGCAGTCCGTGGAAAACTATTGTAACTGCATAATTGCCGATCTACCTGGAGTGCTGCCACTCCTAAAAAATCTGTCCTGATTCTTTCCTCTGTGCCTGCAGGGCTGAGCCTCAGCACCTCAGAGAAGTTATTCCGGGTGACGGAGCTCTCGCCTCTCCTGTATTCCCTCTTCACATTAAGCATTGGCGGCTTGCTGGCCTTTGGTTTGGGCTTCTCTGAGTTCCTGCTGGTCTCCCGAACCTCCAGCCTCACCTTATCCATATCAGGGATCTTTAAGGTAATTACTTACTTTCTGTGTTGTCAGCATCTTTTTTTTCACCTCCAGCTGGTGGATGGCTGCCACTAGAAGTGCCTTGAGGTGACTGCTGTTGTGAATTGGTGCTATATCAGTAGAATTGAATTAGATTGGTGAAGCCAAAGAAAATCTGTCCGCAATACCAGAGCCATAGCTGAGTTTAATATGGGAGGTTGCGGTTCTTTTGGTGCTTACTCTGAGCTACTAAAGCAGTTATGTGTAATCTTTGTGGATGTTCTGACAGATCAGAGGGTTCACTAGGGCTTTGGATGTAAGCATATAACATCTTTATTATGAAAATCAACTTTATTGACTAAGTATGTCTACACATACATTGTTTTGTTTTTTGATCTCAGTGTACTTACATGTAAATATGTTCTAAAAATGTTATGTAATAAATAAGGGATTGTTACTGTGTTACATGTGGACTTGGGTTTTTTCAGAGCTGTCTAATGAAGTCTTCTCTGTTCCTTGTGTTGATTTCCTGCAGGAAGTATGCACTCTGCTTTTAGCCGCTTTTCTGATGGGAGACAAAATGAGTATGCTCAACTGGCTGGGATTCGCTGTGTGTCTGTGTGGTATTTCATTACACGTGGGACTCAAGACATATTATACTAAAAGTAAGTTTTATTTATGTTTTCACCATATTTACTGCTCTACATCCTAAAAACATAAAAATACTCAAAGCATTTTTTTTAATGGCATATAATATATTTTTATTTTCTACACAAAAACCATTGGTAAGCTCCCTTTTAGTAAAATCCAGGGATTTTGAATATGTAAATTTTTTTTGTTGTAAGTTACGTTTGAGAATGTGCCCTTGTTCACCGAACAGTCTGTTCTCCGATTTCTAGTTTACATATCACATTTTCTACATGTAATGTCACAGTTTTCTTCAGAATCTTTAACAAGGAAAGAAAGGAAAGGAGGAAGGAGACTTTGCAGGGTGGTGACCATGCTGATGGTGTAAATTTTCTATCTTCCATCAGATAAGGGTCCTTCTTTAAGGCAGCTCAAGAGTAAGAGCCCAGAACTTGAGCTGCCGTTACTGCAGCGAAATGGGAATGAAAGTAAGGACTCGGCTACTGATGAATGTGATGATGAAGAAGAGATCACTCTACACTGACAGGACTTGGACACAGTCTCCATGCTGCACATTCCTTCCCTACTCTTTTGTTAGATGGTTTGAACAGTGATGTCAGAGAAGTGTTTCCAGGTGTGGGACTCTTGTTTTTTTGGGGGGGTTTTTGTTTTTTTTGTCCCCACCACAAGTCACAGTCTGGCTCAGGGCCTCCTTATGGACTCTATATTTACATAGTACTTTAAACGTGGCACAGCTGATAACATTTTACCTTCAAAATGTAGCAGATGCATGCATGCATTAACAAAGAATATGTGGAGAGCAAAGGAGTAAACTCCAGCTTTAACAGGATACTTTGGCACCTCGAGTCTGGTGGATCAGTTCTCTGTCAGCTCTGCAGTATTAACATATCGTTTCATATATTTGACAAATTATTATGGATAACTTATTTCATGGACAAATGCTGACGAGGCAGAGTTTGCACTCTGCCTCGTTACTTTTTAGTAACAGTTAACTGCCATCAAATTTTTTTTTCCCCCAATCCCAAACTCAGAGATAATCAGATTCATTTTGCATTGACTGAATCAGCTGTTTAATGGATGACGGCCTCTGTATGTCAGAAATTTCAATAATCATAAAGTACTAAACATTACAAAGACACAAGTCAGCTTTTACAGAGCTCAGATTGATGTCAGGACTTTTGCCTAAAATTCTAACTTTGCTAATGGAGTTAAAATATTCATTGATTGCATATTTTAATTTGTAGAGTTGAAGAGTGTTTATTGAATTGGACAATAATTGTCTACAGCCTTTTTGAGTCATAATTTGAGATGTCATGAATAGTGAAACTGATCTTTAATGTGCCTTATAAGCAGATGGAAGGAACAATTTTAATAACTGATGCTGACTTCGTTAGAGTTTAAAGCCATTTCTAAATGTTTGTTTTTTTTGTCATGATTTTCTTTAAATGCAGTGTTGTTTGAGTGTTATTTCAGAAAATAAACAAAAAATTTGTTTTCATTATTTTTGATATTCCAGAGGTTTCTGTTAACGATCATGGAGATGTTTGCTCATCCCAGATTTACACTGTTGTAGGATTAATCCAAACCAGAGGCATAAAGGCGTGCTGTGTGTGGTCACAGAAAAACTGAGTCATTCATTAGATGATGTGACCTGTGCACCACCTTAATCTCAACTTCATGGAGCCTGACCCCAGACTATGCAAGGTTACAGAGGCAAGACATGGAAATACCCTAAAGCCAAGGAGATGGGACAAAATTAGTGAATTGGTGCTATTTCAGAGGCAGTTAGTGCACAATCACAAACTCTATGTCAGTACTTACTATGGACCTAATTGTACACTCACAAGTTACGAGTCCATGCTCATTGCAGTGCATCT